CCCCAAAACCCCAAAACCCCAAAACCCCAAGGATGGATAAAGGGATTGAAATTTGTGAGTTTTGCAATTAAATATCTAAATGGAAATTAAATTCACACTAAATGAGCTAGCTGGGAAAGGCCAAATCCTAAAGAATAAGAGCAAGGACTTAGAACATATAATAGACATGATCATGGTTGAGTGCAATGACTACAATCCTATCCTGATGTTCTTGATGGGTCTCAACTATCATGCCTTCCAAGAAGAGTCTTCACCAGAAGCTCTTCTGGAAGTCGCCTCTAGGATCCAATCTAAGATAGAACTTCTTGGTCCTAACAGTCCTGAAACTGAAAATATGTTCAGAAGATTGTTTACTCAAATTAATTCAAGCAGTATTTTGGATCTCCCTAGATGCACCCCCAATCCTAAAATTTTTCTGAGAGATCCTTCTTGTAGAGAAAATAATGAAGATGAGAAATATGACTCTAGCTACGAGAATAAAAGGTGAGTGTTTACCCTTCGATGCTCCTGATCATCCTGCCTGACTTGAGCTTGTGTTGATTTGTCATCAAATCTTTCCAATTATTTCTCAAAGTCTGGAAGTTAAGAGCATTCATTCCTTGGCAAAGCACATTTGAGTTGAGTTTTCTCCTTTCAAACCGTTTTTAATGTTAATTTCTAGATCACTCAATTTTCAATTCTCTTACTCAGGATAAACGATTAATCTTGACATGGACAAGTGAGGTTCAAAAATTTCATCAGCACCAAAAGAGCCTGTATTAGGACCTGAGTCTTGCGATCTTATGAAGTATGAAGGTACTCAAGATTGCAACCCAGCATTAGATAAACAACTGGATAATAGGGGTATCTTCAGATATTATTACACTGACTCAAGCTCAGAGTTCACTTTCATCTCAAAGAAGAAGTACTGAGAGGAATCAGCCAATTCAGTATTCAAAGAGATTTGCAGTTCTTTTCTCTCGAATGATTCAATCAAGGAATCCTTAGTAAAGTCAGGACATCAAAAAAGCGGAGATGACTGCTTACCAAAATGCCCGATATGATTCAGCCAGATTTGTTTCAAAGATCTCACACTCATTGAGTGTGGACACATGTTCCACACAGAATGTATTGAGACTTATCTCAATCTTGAGATTCATTCTAAGTCTTTGCCAATCAAATGTCCTCTTCAGGAATGCAAGCAGCAAGTGGCTGAATCTGATCTAAGAGATATTGTAGATCCTGAGCTCCTTGAGAAATTGGAAAGGTTCCAGTTAGAGTTATTCGTTGAACAAAACTCAGCTTTCTATCATTTCTGCCCAAGTCCTGACTGCACTAATGTGTTTGAATGGGATGCTGTAAAAGGACTCTCTCCACACCAGCATTGCCCAACTTGCTCCAAAGATGTTTGCCTCGAATGTAAAACTCAGTGGCATGTTGAATGGACTTGTAAAGACTTCTCCAAGTATAAAGAGGCCAGTCCTGGCGATTTGACCTTTTACACCTTGGCCAAGCTGACAAAGTTCCAGCAATGCAGCCAATGCAAGTTCTGGATCCAGAAGAAAGAAGGATGCGACCACATCACTTGTAGGTGTGGATTTGAGTTTTGTTACAAGTGTGGAGGTAAATACCGAGAATGAAGCTGAAGATAATCCTAAGCTGATTTCATGAATCATTTCTGGATTTAGTATTTTCAATAAATTAGTAGAACTAGGGGTTTTGGGGTTTTGGGGTTTTGGGGTTTTGGGG